GCTTAGAGAGTTTTAGAGAAAAGTCTGGAGTTTAGAGAATTTCAAATTTAAGACCAATATAGATGAATTGGAAGTATAGCTGACTTGGATAATGTTTCTAGTCCAGATGTTCTGATCTAAACTTTAAAAATCACTTTGAATTTTGAATTTCCAACAATTCTCACTTTAGTGAATAACCTCTGTGCATGCTTTATATTTTGTCCTAAAATTTTGTTCTCAATTTTTTTTTTTCAGTTGTGATATTAAAAGGGAGACTATAGTCATCAAAACAACGGTAGCTTTTAATGAGGCAGTTTTGGTGTGTATATCATGCCCAGCAGTCTCACTGCTCAATTCTCTGACATTTAGGGGTTATATCACTTTTATGCAGCCCTTAACACACCTCCATTAGCTTTGACTCATGCAGCCTGCCTGTAAAAAATGCATAAACAAAGTGATTTAACTCCTAAATGGTAGAGAATTGAGCAGTGAGACTTGTGAGTCTATACACCAAAAACTGCTTTGTAAATCTAATTTTTTTTTTGGTGACTTGTGTTAGACATTCATTTAAAAAATAAAATAAAAATAAACAAAATATATATATACTATTTGTAGTTTGATTTTCTTTTTTCAAAACTTATGGTCCCTGTTGCTAACTTGATTTTTAATTCCAATTAACTCTCTCGTTGTAAGATGAATGTTTAAATGAAGACCAGATACAACCAGTAGTTTCCTCAAGTAGAGAGACTTTATTCAGGAACAGTGCACAACAACGTTTCAGCCCTCAAATGGGCATTTGTCAAGCCTTCTTACAATGTGTACAATTATTACCATTAGGCATGTGCATGGGGAAAATTTTCGGTTCGGTTCGGCATTGCGAAATTCAGGACTTTCGCAATTCGGGACTTCGGCAATTCAGCACTTCAACACTTTTGAACTTCGGCAACCTCGGAACTTCGGCACTTCAGCACTTCTGAACTTCGACACTTCGGAAATTCGGCAACTTTGGCACTTCGACACTTTGGAACTTCAGAACTTCGGCATTTCGGAATTTCGGGACTTCGGCACTTTGGGACTTCTTTTGCAGCCGCCTAGTAGATAACTCCCTAATTCCCACGGTATTAGGGAGTTATATACCAAAAGGCTGAAAGACCTAAATTGGTCTTTCAGCCAAATTTACTAATACTAAGTAAAAATTACTTAGTATTAGTATTAGTAAATTTTGCCCTAACTCGCAATACCGCGAGTAAGGGCATGCCTCTGTTAAAAAAAAAAAAATAGGGTCCCCCCTCCCGAGCCCCCACCCGTGACCTATTGCCCCCTCCTGGCCCCGACCCCTGAGCGGCGGGTGGTGGCCCTAAATACTAATAAGGGGGGGGACCTAATGTCCTCCCCCCGACCCCCACCTCTGAGCGGCGGGTGGGGGCCTTAAACACTAATTAGGGGGGGGACCTAATGTCCTCCCCCCTGGCACACCCTAAATACTAATAATGGGGGGACCTAATGTCTTCAACCCTGGCCCACCCTAAATACTAATAATGGGGGGGACCTAATGTCCTCCCCCCTTTCCCCCACCCCTGAGCGGCGTGTGGAGGCCCTAAATTATAATAAGGGGGACGACCTAATGTTCTCCCCCCTGGCCCCCACCCCTGAGCGGTGTGTGGGAGCCCTATAGTAAATAAGGAGGGGGACCTAACGTCCTCACCCCTGGTCCCCACCCCTGAGCAGTGAGTGGGGACCCTAAATACTAATAAGGGGGAGACCTAATGTCCTCCCCCTGGCCCCCACCCCTGAGCGTCGGGTGGATGCCCTAAATTGGAATAAGGGGGGTACCTAATGTCCTCTACCCTGGCCTCCACCCCTGACCGGTGGGTGGGGGCCCTAAATACTAATAAAGGGGGGGACCTAAGGTCCTCCCCCCTGGCCCCCACCCCTGAGCGGTGGGTGGGGGCCCTAAATACCAATAGGGGGGGCCTATTGTCCTTCCCCCCCCGGCCCCCACCCCTGAGCAGCGGGTGGGGACCCTAAAAAAATGTAACCCCCCCAGGTGACTAGGGGTCCCCAAACCCCTAGTCACCCCCTCCCCCAAAAAAGAAATTAACCCCCTACCTACCCCCCTCACCCTAAAAATAATGAGGGGGGGACCTTTAACTAAGTATCTGTAAAAAAAATAAAACTTACCATTTAATGTTTTCTTTCTTCTAAAATCTTTTTTCAGCCCCAAAAAAGGCCAAAAAAAAAATCCATAGATGCAATTAAAAAAATAAACAGATGCAATGAAAAAAATAAAAGCAAGTGCAAAAAAAAATAATCCTTCTTCACCTGGCGAGGGCTCCGCGCAGACTGAGCTCTGCATGGCGGGGGAAGGCTTATAAAGCCTTGACCCACCCTGCAATTAGGCTCAGAGCACTCTGATTGGTGGGTTTAAGCCATCCAATCAGAGTGCTCTGACAGGTAAATGAAGAGACTGACAGGTAAGTCTCTACATTTACCTGTCACAGCAATCTGATTGGTTGGTTTGAAATCCACAAATCAGAGTGCTCTGTGTCATTTTACACAGCGTGGGAAAGTTCTTTGGTATTTTCCCATGCTGTGTAATTTAACTCATAGCATGAGTCACCTGGAGGGGTTAATACTTTTTTTTAGGTCCCCCACCCGCCACTCAGGGGTGTGGGCCAGGGGGGGGAGGACAATAGGTCCCCCCCTATTGGTATTTAGGGCCCCCACCTGCCGCTCAGGGGTGGGGGAAGGGGGGAGGAAATTAGGTCCCCCCCCTTATTTTACTGTAGGGCCCACACCCACCATTCGATGGTGGGGCCCCGGGGGGACAACATTAGGTCCCCCTCCTTATTAGTATTTAGGGCCCCCACCCCAGGGGGGAGGTCATTAGGTCCTTATTATAATTTAGGGCTCCCACCCCCTGCTCAGGGGTGGGGTCAGTGGGGAGGACATTAGGCTCCCCCCTTATTCTGATTTAGGGCCCCCACCCACCGCTCAGGGGTGGGGGCCCAGGAGGAGGACAATAGGTCCCCCCCCATTATTTCACATTAGGGCCACAGGCTTCTCACTGTTTAATAGACATGCCCCTACTCGCGGTATAGCGAGTAGGGGCAAAATTTACTAATACTAAGTCATTTTTACTTAGTATTAGTAAATTTTGGCTGAAAGACCAATTTAGGTCTTTCAGCCTTTTAATAGATAGCTCCCTAATACCGTGGGAATTAGGGAGTTATCTACTTATTCATTCCTGTCATTACATGACTGACTAAGTAACTTACATTTTATATGAATGTATGTTACTTGATTGTTTTAAGTGTTGCAAATGCAGCTGAATCCTGGCTATGTTTGAATACTTTTTATTTAAAATTGTATACAATGTAACATTCTTCTTCTTTCACTGGGTAAGTATATGAGTACTTAGGCAATACTGTGCTTCGGAACTTCGGCACTTTGACACTTTGGAACTTCGGCAACTAAAGGAACTTCGTCAATTCAGCACTTTGGAACTTCGGCAATTCGGCAGTTCGAACATTCGGAAGTACCAATTGCACATGTCTATTTACCATGGTCAAGTGAATACTCTCTGATTTTGGAGTCAGAGTATTATAGAATTACCCAATTCCACTTCATTCTATTGTCATCTTGTTTCTTTGAAAAGCCTTACAGAATGAAATAAGGGTGTAGGTTTCCAGGAGAATTGTGTGCGGTTTGCCAAGATTCTGTCTTTCCTAATAGCTGCAGAGAGTTAGGTAATTTCCATCCATTCCCCCTCAATTCTTTCTATCTTGATACTGTTCCAAATTCCAGTAATCTTCAGTGACCTTCACAGCCTAATCACTGAAATTGATTTTTTCTAAGTTATACCTTTGTTGTAAATTGGTCCAGACTGGCCTCTCTCTAAGTTAAGAGGTTAAATATCATGCCTATTGTGGAAACAAAACAGATTTGGGGATTTTCAATACAACCAAAATCAGTAAACGTATTTTTATCTTTAAAGTGATACTCCAGGCACCATAACAATTTATACTCCTAGTGCTTCTTGCACAGGTTATAGAGAATGAATGTCCCCAGTCTCTGTCTCACTGAACATAATTACTTTTAACAGCAGTGATTTGCAAAAAGTTTGGGATTTTATCCCTTTCTCGTAACAGTCAGAGCCTTGCTCTAACTGATTATCCATCTTTATTGATCTCGTACTTGGTAAAGTATTAATTGGAGTATAGTATTCAGATGTTAATGTTCTAGTGAATGTCTATGTGGAGATACACTTTTTTGTGGGTATACATTAGTTTACTAATGAGTTCATTTTAAACCCTAAGTCTCTGTGTTTGAAATCCTTACTTTGCCGTATAATGGGATAATAGTAGAAAAGTCACAATATAATGTATGCCAGTAAGCAGTGTAGTGCTGTAACTCAAAACGTCTGACTATTAGTGCCACACACATTGACCTCTCAATTGATTTGTTGGCTAAGTGCAGCAGGCAAACTTATATTCTTAATAACAAACGAACAATAAATAAATATCTAAACCAAACAGTATAATGCTGATTTCTCTATAAAAATGTTTTTTTTGTTTGCAAACATATACCTTATGACATCCATGAACTTGATCTAAAATTTAAATTTGGATATTTATTAAAACCAAGTGTGGGATTTGCACCAAATGGGATCTTCCAGTCCTGAGTAGTTTGGTGTCTCCAAAAAGAATTTCCCCTGAAAAAGTCATATATAAAGTGGAGAACTCAGATATTTATCAAATGCAAAAATTATCTAATTTTGTTTGTTCCAAATATTATCTAACCGTTTCTATCACAGAAAGGCTTGGACAAGCAAAACTCTTACAAAATTACTGCTGCCTAATTATTAGACATGTGCAATCTGTTTCGTTCCGGATGCAGTGCTGAAATGCTTTGGATTTCTGAAAAGTGGCAAAACAGGAGAGGGTTGGGGTTAGGGGTTGGGGTTAGGTTAGGGGTTGAGTTTGGGGTAGGGTTAGGGTAGAGTTAGGGTAGGGTTAGGGGTTGGGGTAGGGTTAGGATTAGGGGTATGGTTAGTGGTTGGGGTAGGGGTAGGGTTAGGGGTTGGGGTAGGGTAAGTGGATAGAGTAGGGTTAGGGTTAGGGTAACCCTAACCTTACCCTAACCCCAACTGTACTCCTAGCCCTACCCTAACCCTACCCCTAACCCTACCCCAAACCCCACCTCTACTCTAACACTACCCTAAACCCTACCCTAACCCCTATCTCTAACCCTAACTCTATCCTTAACCCTACCTCTAACCCTACCCCTAACCCTAAACCAACCCTAACCCTACCCTAACCCTAACCTAACCCTATCCATAACCCTACCCTTAACTCTACCCTAACACTACCCTTAAACCTACCCTAAACCTAACCCTACCACTAACCCTACCCCTAACCCTACCCTAACCCTAAACCATCCCTAACTCTACCCCAACCTAACCCTAACCCTATACTTACCCCAAGTCCCGAAGCGCCAAAGTTCTGAAGTTCCAAAGTCCCAAAGTTCCAAAGTGCCAAAGTGCCAAAGTGTCAAAGTGCCGATGTTCTGAAGTTTCAAAGTGACGAAGTTCCGAAGTGCCAAAGTTCCAATGTGTCGAAGTGTCGAAGTTCCCAAGTGCCGAACTGAACCGAAGTGCTGAAGTGCCGAACCGAAGTGCCGAAGTCCCGAATTTCAGAATGCTGAACCGAACCAAATATTTTTCCCATGCACATCCCTACCAATTATACCAAGTTGAGTTTTGTAACATCCAGGGCAAAATCTGTCTAACTAATTTCTGCCCTGCCATTACCTATCATCACTACTTGTTTAAAGGGTTATGTTGAAGGGAAAATGCATCTAGTATTAGAACCTTTTAAAATAATAATTCATTTTGTGTGATGTCAGATGTACTATATGTTTGTTTAAAGACCGAAAAAAAATAAATCCTGTTCCCTACCCCACCTGATATATCATGTCTTAAATTATGCTTGCTTGTTAAAACACATGTTCAGTTATTACAAAATATTTTATAAAGAGTCTGGATAGAATGTTCAGATAGGTCTCATTCATTTCAGTGGGGAATTATATAATAACTCATAATACATTTGTGGTCACATTAGTAAGCATAACCCAGTCATTACCTAGTTTGAATACACTGCAGGACAGGGCAGCTGGTAAGTTGTTACAAACTTGCAAACAAAGTATTTTGCATGTATTGTGCATAAACTGCATTAAAATGTGTTGTAGCTTCCATCCTGGCATGTCTCTATAATGGGGTGGAATAATAATACATATCTTTTAAGATCACTTCAAATATTTATGGGTTTTTTCACCTGGAAGAGGCATTGGGGCAAGGCTTGAAACATCTTCATCTCTTCAATTACATCTTTCGCGCAGCTTAGTCATGGCACAAAAATGGTGTCAAGAATAGCTTAATAGACAAAGAGACTGAAAGAGGCTGAAAATGACATAATTTCTTTGCTATACATTGCCTGTTAGCTCTGTGCCTTTCAATTTAAAAATAATATTTAGCCTGACAATGGAGATAGACAGTGTATGAACATAATGCAATGGTGGAGATGCATTTTGTTCTTCCAGCAAAACGGTTGTTTACCCAGTAATTACCCGTGGGCTGGTACTTACTGAGCATTCAACACAAAAGATCACAGTGTGGGTCACAGAAGTCAGAGTTTCTATATTTAAGACTGCTGGGGCTGTGGGTGAATAGAGTTGAATTTTCTAAACATTTCCATATATCCTTTCCATAAAAAATGTGACGTTAAACCATAAGCTATAAATGTCTTTTTAAGGTTTGTTCAGTGTTTCAGCGACATATTCTGCTGGGATTCGACTCAACGCTTCTAGGCGCTGCCTACCCACAGGTTCCTCTCCAGCTGTGATGCGAATTGAACTCTGCATTTCTACAACAATGTCATAGAAATACATTTAACCCCTGCTACACTGGATATTGGTGGAGAGTTTGTAAGCTGCTCTGTACTCTTCATTAATTATGATGTATCTTTATAATGACAAAGACAATGCAGGGTGATCAGTAACCAGCAGATCAAAAAGGGATAAGGGTGGTTACAACTTGCAGATGCAGTTCTGTAGCAGTTTGCAGAGACATTTTAATCCACGCGCTGAGTGTCACGTGGAAATAGCCAAACCCAAATTCTGAACTGAAGAAGAGTGTAAACTCTCAAAAGCTTGTCTTTTAATGTGTTGATAGGCAAAAATTCAGTTATATCTGTCTCTCTATCTATCTATGGCTCTCTCTCTCACACTCTCTCACTTGTCTGTCTGTCTGTCTTTCTATCTATGTCTCCCTCTCTCATTTGTCTGTCTGTATGTCTATCAATGTCCCTCTCTCTTCTATTTCTCTTTCTCATTTATCTGTCTGTCTGTCTGTCTGTTTGTCTGTCTATCGCTCTATCTATCTATCTATCTATCTATCTGTCTGTCTGTCACTCTGTCTGTCTGTCGGTCTGTTTGTCTGTCTATCTATCTATCTATCTATCTGTCTGTCTGTCTGTCTGTCACTCTGTCGGTCTGTCTGTCTGTCTGTTGGTCTATCTGTCTGTCGTATAATACTGCTATGTATGTATATAATGCATTATATTGAATCCTGCTGAAACTGCTTTGGGGCCCATTAAAGATCCTAAGAATTCCATTTACACCTTATTGTTTGTCACATTGCTTGAAATTCTGGTGATTCATCACGGCTAGAGAGATGCACCTGATCCCAATTCTCTTGATATCCCACTCGCTCTGTGAGCAGAATATAGCTAGCAATGCCTTTCATATTCTGTGAGGCCAAGGTGATAACTCTTTTGGGACTTAAGTCTTTCGCCTGCTGATGAATTCCTTTTTTTCTTTCTTAATGCTTTTTCTCTGTTTTCTTTTAACAGCCACCTGACTGCGGAGAAGGGTGTGGAATTACTGAAGGAGGTAGCTGAGATCCTGAAACAGCAAATTAATGCATTTAGTGATATTAGGTAGGTAGAACTGCATTTTATTCTCTGTTTTCTTGCATATCAATTAATTTGGAATTCCATAAGCCTGTCTCTTTTAATTTGTACTTAGACTGCAGATGGTCCTATTCTTTGAAAACTAAGAAAGAGCACAGAATTAATTAAAATTTGCACGGTAAAAAGTAACTCTAAATTCTGATATATGTATACATACAATGTATATGTTGCACTGAATGGTACAAAAAATGTCTTCAAATATTAAATATTGCACCAGTACTACTAGGCATGCGAAAGGGGTGGGTCCAGTTTGCTGAAGTGCTTTATGTGTGATGTGTGTGTCCTTTTTCTAATTTTTTCACCTTTTTTTCATTTTACCAAAAGTGCATAGATATCGGCATTTTTATAAATTAACCTTGTTACACGGCCCCTGACTTTCAATTAAACAACTGGTCCTGTTGCATCCTGGTTGTTTTGCTCACTAGAGCTTAACTCAAGAGGCAGCAATTGCCCAGAGCACCTGTCTTGCAAAGACTTCTCATTGAGCTGTATTGGGAAGTCTGTGATTGGACAGTAACAGAAAGTCTGGGCGGAGTTAGAAGGGGAGGGTTTGCAAAGGCTGCAATTAAGATATCTATTTTTTAAACGTCATTTTTTAATGAAGTTTTACAGAAACAAAAAAACAGTAAATTAGGGCAAAAGTGTGATATACAAACATGTCCAGCAGCACATTTACCCAGCACAGTCTGACTCTAAAAAAACCAAAAACAAAATAAAAACAATATCTTTAGATGCCTCATTGGGAACCAATCTAAAGGGCAGCACAAATAATAATTGCCCTCCCAATGTGAAGCCATGTTTGGGCACAATACTGATTAAAGAAACAAAAATAGCTCAGCCTGAAAGAATGAGAGTCTTCCTCTTTGCGACCTTCCTATAGCAATACTCAACCTACTGAGTGAGTCTAAAATGTCCGATAGCAGGCGGGAATAAGATTGCATCTCACAATCTCTGTTGTTTTGGACTTCTGGGAACAGTGGGGAGAGGCAGCCATCTTGTATGGGGCAAGATCGCAGTAGAAGCCCTATTTTCTTCTCGCGGAACCCTGAAACACTAACTGGGAAACACTACCCTACAGGAAACATTTAAAACATACCATAATAAATAATAGCAACTTTGATGAATTTAATATTCATTGTGACTACATTTGTAGTAGTTTTATTAAAAAAACTAAATAACTCATTTCTGGGATGCACACCCTAATGAGTGAATAATAAACACATACAGACAATCACGGTTGCATTGATTAATGGATGCACAGGGTGCGTACTATGTCAGTCTTGTATTACAGATTTTTCTAAAGCCCTTGTAGTGTGTAGAGTATCGTTTGCTATTAGAAATAATTGTTTTTTCATTAAAGTCCAAAATAAGTTATTCTGAAAAATTCTGGAACCTAGCTACATTCACAACTATGTAACTATTATGTTCGTTCATATTGATTCAAAATTTATGAATACATTCTACTGTTGAATTTATACACCAAAATGAAGAGAGAATTGAAGATTTGATGCCAAAACTGAGGAATAGGGAAAAAGTATACAATCATACACAATGTACTTTCTTTGTCTATGCAACACAAATGATATTAAGCGTGATAATCTTGTTGTGAGCATCAATAATATCCTTGAACCGATACTTAAATATGTCTTTGCCCATGGCCGAGAGAGAATCGTACTTTAACCTTGTTGCTCCAGCAATGCTGTCTTCGAATCTCTCACATACCCTTTAGGCATGTAAGATAAAACAAATGGTGTAATATTATGAGAGAGAGAGAAGGAACAGTAAATGAAGGGAAAATGTACTCTTCATCTAAATGTTAGGTTGAAAAATCCAATGGGCAGTAATCATTCTCTATAACCAAGTTACCGAGCTCCCTGGGCAAAGCCTTGTAATATTGTCTGCATTAATGAATTTAATGTGTGCGCATGAGATAATACGGTTTGCACCTCGCTTTTCAAAGAGAAAAAATGCAAGACATTGAATCTTTGATTCTAAATTATCTTTCACTTACTTGATTTCCTATTAATTGTTAACATGCACATGGAATTACCTTGGTATAGAATGTGCCTTTAATTATTTTTCTAATCAATCCAGAAGTGGTGTATGCAATATATGTAGCGGTAATTGGATTAAAGGGACACTCCAAACACCTAAAGCACATTAGCTTGCTGAAGTGCTTTATGTGTGAAGAGTGTATCCTCTGTTTTTCATTTAGCAAAAAGTGCAGATTTCAACAGAAATTGGCACATTTATAAATTAACCTTGTTTCACTTCCTGGCTGTCAATAAGACAACCAGTCCTGTTACTTCCTGG